CTACTAGATAGTGGAAACAAAGACAAGCTTCCCATTAAATGGATTTTAACAAATATATTTTAGGGAATCAAACTATGTTTGTAAAACTATTTTGAATATAATATACATATCTCTAAACTCCAACTTAAAACAGAAAGTTCTAATAAATGTGTGGAAAATGTTTTTTCCTATGAAAATAAAAATAAATAGACACATATACTGATAAAAACATGCTTAATCACAACACAGCAGCTAGTCAGCTAACAATCTTAAAAACTCCTTTGACCCCAGTAATTGCTAAACTCTTTTAACAGTATTACTGAACAATATAATGCCGAAAAATTTACAGATGAACCCAACTCTGAATATAAAGGTGAGTTAAGGTAAAAAAGCAAAACAAACAATAACCTAAGCTTAAGGCACAAAAGAGCTAATACAATGGTTTAAAGAACAAAGTGTAAGCTTAGTTCTTTCATGTTCTGAGATAAAAGGTCTCAGTTGGTGGTAGAGCTGTTTCATGAAGCACTCACAGGCCCAAAGTCCTTGTGACACATTGTTTCACCCTCGCCCTATGATACTGTTATTTAGACTAGGACTGAAGAGAAATGATCTTGAGTTCCAACTGGGAAGCAAGTCAGCCATCTTCAAGCCTGCCTTGGAAGGGGTACTCACTACTGTCAGCACTTTGCTGACAGGAAGCTGATGCAATCAACCTGAGCCATGCACACACCTCTGTATCTCAGAAAGGAAGTCTGGATTATTATAGGATAGATAATTAATCTCTGACAAAAAGGTCTTTGAAGCAATATAAAAATGCCTTCATTGCAAAGTAGTTATAATAAAAGCCAGCATAGTGGTGACCTTTGAGCAAGGAGAGAATTTTGAAAAAAATGTTGAGATTATAGCAATGTAAGCAGTAATTTTCACTAGGCTGGGCAGCCAGTGAATTCCCAAGCTCTACCTGCCTTTACCTCCAATGCTGCAATTAGAGACACATGTGGCCTTGCCTGGCTGGCTTCTTTACCTGAGTACAAGGGATTCAAACTCAGCTGCTCAAGCCTCTTTTCCACTCTCTCCAGCCCCAAGTGCCACTGTCTCGTAACTGAGAAACTGTTTATAAACAGCATTTGTGCTAATACTCAGAAATACTCTCAAAGATTTCATCTCAATATCCTAACTTAATATGACTTATTTTGTAGGAAAATAAATAAACTACAAGTTACTGGCTTTGCTAGTTAAAAAACCCTAATGTTACAAACTTTTCAGCTATACCTGTGCCTGAGAGTATATGCCACAGCTTTTTAGTATTATATATTATAAATCCACATACAAAAACCCATTCCTCTGATACCCAGAATTTATACATTTTATGGCAGTATATGACAAACATGTCTCTAATGACTATATACAACAGCAAGAACAATTACAAATTCAATAATCTAAGAGTCAAGCAAGAGGCATTAGGAAAGAGCTCATCTCCTTTGAAGATACTAGAACACCTGGAACAAGGAAGAGTGTGGTGTTAAAGCTATGGAATTAAAGGACTTTGAATTTATAAGTAATTTAGTCACAATCAACAGGGAAGGGAGGGTATTGGAAACCACTTCTTTTGTAGGCAATGGAAATCCCTACAAAATATAGTTCTAGGGAATAATTTTATTACATTCATTTCACTTTTCAGTCTGTTTTTAAAATAATTAACATTTAAGATAATAAAAGGCTCATAAAATTACTTACTCTTTGTACTCTCTCCCTCATTCTTAGACTCCATGAAATCACCTGAACGCATAGCATACATAATCTTCTGGGCAACAGTGGAGAGGGGTGTCCCACAGAGATCAAAACCTACACATGCCTCATAATTTTCCATTTTCATAAAGTCCTAAATATAAGATAAGCACCCATATATTAATTTTAACACTTTAAAAGGACTTCTGTATATCTTCATTTAAAAGGTATTAATAACTACAGGAAACAGGTTTTGATTATCTAACACAAATAGGATGGAAATATAAGAAGTGAGGCCTGTTGGTGCAAGCTGAATTAGGAGGCTGAGGCAGGATACAATTCAAGCCTGCCTAGGCTACCGAACAAGTTCAAGAACAACTGGGCAGATCAGTAAGACCCAGTCACAAATATTTTTAGTTTTTTTTGTTTTTGTTTTTTTAAATTGTAGGGATGGGGTTCAGTGGTAGAGCATTTGCTTGGGATGTGTAAAATCTAGCTTTGATTCCCAGTGCTACAAATCAAAACAAACCAGAGGCTCATCTGAGGGATGACGATAAACAAAAAGTACTTTCTAATTAACCAATTATGAAGTGAGCAGTCTACTTAAATACTCCTCAGTTCTGGAAGTTGGCTATTAATTTTCAAGCATACAACTCTGACAATACAGTAATTAGAACTGACTTGGGTTATCAAGGTAAACAAATAACCTGCCATCTTGGTAATGACACACTCTATTGGTCCCCTGGCTGAGTAGGAAAATGTTTAGGTGGAAAGTACAGAATAAATAGCTGGTTCATATAGCTAAATTACCTGGCACCCACTAGGAAAGCAATTAACACATTTTCCTACATTATTTGAGAAAAGAAAAACTTAAATGCCTTATCTCTGGACATTCAAATGAACAGCTGACAGTTAAATCTTTTTTTTTTTTTTTTTTTTTTTTTTCGAGACAGGGTTTCTCTGTGTAGCTTTGCGCCTTTCCTGGAACTAAGGGAGGTTTGTTTTGTTTTGAGACAGGGTTTCTCTGTTTAACAGCTCTGGCTGTCCTGGAACTCACTTTGTGGACCAGGCTGGCCCCGAACTCACAGAGATCCCCCTGCCTCTGCCTCCTAAGTGCTGGGATTAAATGTGTGCACCACCACTGCTTGGCCTGACAGTTAAATTTTATGACAAAATTTAATGTCAAAGTTTTTTTCAACTACATTAGGTTCACCTAACAAAAATAAATTTATGTAACATGATACAATAATTTACAAAAATGCATTTGCTTGATAGATTATAAAAATACAGTGCATGGCCATTTTCTGTCTATAGTTTTATCCAAAACATGTCCATAAAACATAAAATATGTAGTTTTTAAGACTGGTAAACCATATCACAAAGGTAAATAATATTCTTAGAGGCATTTCCTACAGCTGTAAACCATATCACAAAGGTAAAGAATATTCTTAGAGGCATTTCCTACAGCTGAACTCTTCTAGTATTTAGTATTTGACACAGACATATCATAAAATGATCTCTTTGGGAACATTTGATAAAATAACTGATAGGCTGCCTAGTGTGGTGGTATATACTGACAATCCCAGCATGGTCAAGGTAGGATCATGAATTGAAGGCCAATCTGGGCTACAAAAATTTAAGACCTTATCTTAAAAAAGAGAATTTAAAAATCAAACTAAAAAGCCACTTCAAATCTTTAAAATGATTGTCCAACATTTTCTTTCCTAAGAAAGTGATTTAAACATGTATCATAAATCCTTTAAGCAGCCACTTGTACATAATTTTGAAACTTAAATTTCAAATTTCATTACTTATATCACACTGGTTAAAGCTCTAGTATGGGCCATCAGAACCCAGTCCTTAAAATGGAAATGCTCAAACTCTGGTACAAGGAGACACATTTAAACTTCTCAAAGGTTACAATAAAGAATTAGAGGAAAATACTTTGAGCAGCAGAATTTTATAATACAACACACTGGTTATTGAATATACAATAGTATGATTTTACCAACAGAGGATAAAATTCAAAAATTCAATGAAACTGCACATAGTACGGAAATCTGTGTATCTGCTAGCTATCAGGCATTAAGTGACTAGTAAAAAAGGTCAAGTATGTAGCATACATACACTGAACAAAGGTATAACACATCCCAGAGTTTCAGAGTCCACAACATACATAGGAAAGCATACAACTTAAAGTTTCTGTGACTTTTGAAATTCAATGTTTTCAGATCACAGTTGACCTCAGATAACTAAAACCTTAAAAAAACAAAACTCAAAATTCTATAAACTTTTGAAACACTCAATAGTAGAAAATGCCAATTTAAGGAGATTTAATTATATATAAAACATTTGTGTAACATGCTTTCTTCCTGCAAGTAAAAATTTGCCAAGATTAAGTGGCACCATGCAAACAGCTCATGAGAAGGACTTGGTAGTATGCCTGACATGGTGGTGTTAATCTCAGCACTGGAGAGGTAAAGGCAGGCAGATCACTTAAGTTCAAGCCAGTCTGGCCAGCCAGTGCTACAAAAACACAGCACTTCTACTCTGTCAATGGTTACATGGGTTAAAAACCAATGTCACGAACTGAATAGCCTCTAACTTAAACGAGTGGGACCAAACTGTTTCAGATTTTTTTTTTTGGTTTTTGGTTTTTGAAGACAAGGTTTCTCTGTGTAGCTTTGCGCCTTTCCTGGAACTCACTTGGTAGCCCAGGCTGGCCTTGACCTCACAGAGATCCTCCTGGCTCTGCCTCCCGAGTGCTGGGATTAAAGGCATGCGCCACCACCGCCCGGCTTTTAATTTTTGTATATATATAATTAGATATTTTAGGGACAGAACCCAAGTCAAAATGTAAAATTCATTTATAGTTCAGACAAGTTTTATACACATAAGACTGAAGGTAGTTTTATAATTTATGTATTTTGTGACTCTGACTTGTCATGTAAGATCAGATGTAGAATTTTTCACTTGAGAAACATCCCAGTTGTTTATAAAGTTTCAGATTTTGGGAGTATTTAAAAATTTCAGATTAAGGAAGTTCAATTTGACACTGAATCTATTAAAATGTTCTGTTGATCTTAAATTTATAAACTTAGCACTGAGGCTGATGAGATGGGTTAATCACTGCCACCAAGACTGATGACCTGATTTCCATCCCTACAGCTTCTGTGGTAGAAGGATAACACGATTCCTGCAAGACATTCTCTTACCTTCACATATTCATCATGGTACACACTAATGTACGAGACTGTACATACACGCATCCCTCCCCCTCATAAATGTCAAAGAAATTTATTTTCCTTATTAGTTTATTAGTGTTTATTAGAAATAGCCTCCTAATACTTAAATCGAAGCACAGCAAGCATCGTAAAGATTCAGTTTTTAGAAATCTTCAATCTTTAAGACCAGAGGCCTTAATCTTTGACTGGTTTTCTAAATTTTCCACAACATCTTTCAGATAGTCTTCATCTTTAAAAAAATATACGTATAATTCTCTTTCCACTTGATGCAACTTATTAATTGCCAAAATTTTTCTTTTTGTCTTCACATCAGCAAGAATATCAGTAAGGAGATGATTTAGTTTATTCAACTTAGATTCAACTCGATGAAAGTGCTCCATTAACTCCTACAGGGGAGAAAAAAAGCTTTATTTCAAGAACTTTATCCCTAACACCAACTAAAAACTTTAAATATAACTTAAAAGGAAATTTTATTAATTTAATAAATTTTCATAATCATAATAAAAAGGCATATTTGGCTGAAGTGGTGGAACATACTCTTAATCTCAACACTTGAGAGACAGAGGCAGGAAGATCTCTTTGTTTCGAGGATAGCCTGATCTGCATAGTTAATTCCAAGCCAGCCAGGGCTACATAGTGAGATCCTATCTTTAAAAAAAGAACTAAAGAAAAACAAAAAGATAGGGCTGAAGAGATGGCTCAGTGGACAAAGGTACTTGCTATTAAGCTTGATGACCCAAGTTTGATCCCCCAAACGTACATGTCTGAAGCAAACAACAGACCCCCAATTGTCCTCTGATCTCTAGACAGGTGAGCACCCCTCCACACACAAATATAAATAAATGTAATAAAAATTTTTTAAAAGAAAACTAACCCTTAAAAGGTTGGGCATAATGGTGCTCATGTTTTTTATCCCAGCAGTAGGAAAGTTGAGGCCAGACTGGGATATACACTTTTTTCAGATCTTAACATATCTGAAATGAAGAGGCATCTTATCATAGAGACAGACCATCATGTAGTGGCTATTGACGGTCAAACATTCTTTTCAGATAAGCACAGTGGCTCACATCTGTAATCCCACCACTTAAAGACAAAGGAAAGAAAACTGCTACAAATATATGTAGCAAGTTCCAGACCAGCAAGGGCTACAATGGTAAGATTCTGTTCTGAACAAAAGTTTTCCCTAACATTCTTGATGTAGAAAAGTGTGTCAATTGTGAATCACAAAATAATTTAGAGCAATTCGGAATTAAGCATGAGGCTTTAGAAGTAGTCTACTCATTTTAATTGGCTTATTTTCTCCCTTTAAAATATGCTCAACAGTAACACAATGATGGGCTAGAGGCACCTCAGTAGATAATGGCACCTACAGCCAAGCCTGACAATCATACTTCAATCTCTGGAAAGATATGGTAGAAAGAAGGGAACCAACTTCTACAAACTGTCTTGTGCACTTTCCACTTATGCATCATGGCACCCCCACATAACACACAAATAAATGTGTGAGTTTAAAAAAAAAAAAAAAAAAAAAAACAGGCAGATCTCTGTGAGTTCAAGGCCAGCCTAGTCTACAGAGTGAGATCCAGGACAGGCACCAAAACTACACAGAGAAACCCTGTCTCGAAAAACAAAAACAAACAAAAAAATTAACTTTCAAATTCTGTACACGATATTCAAAATTATCTTAGTATGTGTTAGGCGTTACAAAAAAAAAACATAAGTTTTTATATGGTGGCATATGCCTATAAGCCCAGTACCCGGAAGATTTTGAGCTGGAGACCAGATAGACTACACAGCAAGACCCTTCTCTCTAAATAAATAAATTTTATATTAGTGTAATGAGATAAGGTAATCTTTTCTTCATGATATTTTCTTTTAAAAGAAACATTATTTTTTTAAAAATGTTATTTTTTTTATTTGAATAAGTATTTTTGCTTGCATGTGTGTATGTGTACCACGTGTGCCTGATAACCACAAAAGCCAAGGATGTCAGAACCCCTAGAACTAGAATCACAGATGGTTGTGTGCCACCATATGGGTGCTAGGAATGAAACATGGGTCCTCTACAAGAGCAGCAAATGCTCTTAACTACTGAGCTAGCTCTCCAGCCCCTTATAATAAGCGTAATTTTTTAAAGCATTTTAAATTTCCTAGGTAAACACTCACCTGATCACAAAGCAATAGCTGGTTTCCTCCATGATACAAAGCATCACAAAGCATGTCCACATCGTTATTCAGTTTGGACAGAAAGAAAAAATGCTCTTGAGTAGATACTGCCAACTGATCTTGTATTAGAGAAATATCTTGTTTCAATTTCTCAGCCACTTCCTCCAGGTGTTCATGGGTTATAAACAATTCTTTTTTCTTATTGTCTCCTTTTAAAAGCTGATAAAGCCTAAAATACAAAATTTAAAATTAAATAGAGCAATGTTCATGTTAGTAGTTTTCAAAATTATAACCCATCATATTGAGTCACAGATAGTGATGGCTAAGTAACAACTGAAAAGTAGTAATGTATGTGTTTCTAATATTGAGCAACTGAAACCATTACAAGAAGCTAAAAGATCACAGGCTCAAGGTACATAGCAAATTCAAGGCCACCAAGACACTATCTCAAAAAAATAAATAATTATTTAAAAGAAATATCTGAATTTCCAGTTTCTCCATCTTCTATATTTTAGATATAAACTGCACCTTGATTTTCAACTGCCATTAGTTTACTTCAAAATGAGCTTCAGTGATATGTCCCAAGAAAATACTTCTTTTACACAACACATCTATGATGTAGCAGTAGCAACAATGACCCAGGGGGGAAAAAAATCAATCTTTTATGCCTATTTCACAAGACTGTCATGGGACTAAAAGAGAAAAACTAAAAATGTAAATATTGTAAAATGTAAACAATTGAGATCTATATAAATGGCCACTAACAGCAAAACTTCCTACTTTAATTTGTTCAGTATTTTGGTTGGTAAAAATCCTGATAATTAACAAGACCATTTTAACATTTCACTTAATGGCAGAAAAACTCATCAGCCTATAGGACAAGAGAAAAATCTAACATGTTATACCTGCCTTATAAAAAAAGACTTTTACTTATAATATACATACACCAACATACATCTCGTTCTCTTCACACACACAAATATTAACAGACTAAAACTGGCTGAAGTCCTAAGCTGTCAATTACAATCCTGAGAACTATAACTACACAATTACACACTGGCACATTCACATAGATCATGATGCTGATGGTAACCCCCAAAATTAAAACACTGAGGCAACCCTAAGTCATTCATTTTACTAATAAGCAACAAAACGATTTAAAGTATGTTATTCCAATCCTACAGAAAAATGAGGAATAGGATACAACTATATGTGTGTGCACACGTGCATGGGAACATGTGCTATGGAGAGGCCAGAGGTTGATGTTAGGGGTCTTCCTCAACTATTCTCTGTCTCACTTTTTAACAAAGTCTTTCACAAATCTAGAGCTCACCTATTCAGTGAGACTGGGTGGCCAGCAAACAGTAGGGAATCCTCCTTCCTCTACCTCTCCAGTGTAGAGATGACAGGAGTGTACCACAGCACCTGGCTTTGTTATGTAGTTTCTAAGGTATCCAATTCAGGTTCTCAAGCTTATACACAAGCACTTCAGTGACTGCACTATCTCCCTAGCCCTGTCTCCCTGCCAATTCTTTCTTTCTTTAAAATACAAAGTCTCATTGTGCAATTCAGGCTGTCCTGGAATTGTTGCTATGTAGCCCAAGCTGACCTCAAATTCAAGATCCTCCTGCCCCAGCTTCCAGAAACTTAAAGGTATAATCCCATCACCACACAGGATTTAAAACACAAGTGTTTGCTGAACATTCTCATTCTACAGTCCATGATGGCCTCAAACATAGGATCTTTCTACACCAGCCTTTTAGGCACTAGAATTACAGATAGTGAGCCACTGTACTAGGCAGAACACAGACTTTTGAAGTCTACTACTTTAGCTTTCTAATTCCAGTAGCTTCGTATCATCAATTACTTTAGATATCCAGGAAAGGCCAACTTTCATTTTGAGTGGTCTACCTCACCAGATAGGGAAATAAAATCTTCTATTCTATTACCACCTTCCCCAAATACAAAATCAGTATTATGTCCAGAAATACCTATGATATAAAGCTGTATTCAAATTTCCTGTCCCAAATCTAAAATAAAGTAAATAATGGTGTCTAAGTGGGAGTAAAATATTTTATCTTTTATTCCAACAAACTGACTTCAGCTCTAAAGTGTCTACATTCAGACCTAACATGAACAGAAAGGGAACAAAAAACTTAAGATAAAAGAAAAGCAGAAAGGTCATTCTAAGTACAAGTTAATTTTTTTTTAAGTAAATTTATTTTACAACATCATTTAGTTCAACATAATAGCCACAGATTCCCCTGTTCTCCCACTCTCGCCCCCCCTCCCCCTCCCCCCACCCCACCCCCCATTCCCACCTCCTCCAGATCAAGGTCTCCCCCGAGGACCGGGATCGACCTGGTA